AATCAAGGTGTATTGTCAAAGGTTTTCATGGCTGGAATCACTGGTTGTTGTGAGTTTTCTGGGCTGTGTGGCCATGTTCCAGAAGCATTCTCTCTGACGTTTGCCCACATCTATGGCAGGCATCCTCAGAGGTTGAGGGTCTGTTGGAAACTCGACAAGTGAGGTTTATATATCTGTGGGATGTCCAGGGTGGGAGAAAGAACTTGTCTACTTGAGGCAAGTGTGAAGGTTGCAATTGGCCACTAGCATTGAATGGCCTTGCAGCTTCAAAGCCTGGTTGGTTGCTGCCTAGAGGATCCTTTGTTGGGAGGTGTAGGGGGGTCAGTCGGGGCCAACTAACACCTCCCAACAAAGGATCCCCCAGGCAAAAATTAGGCAGGCTTTGAACCTGCAAGGGCATTCAATACTAATCAAGGTGTATTGTCAAAGATTTTCATGGCGGGAATCACTGGGTTGTGAGTTTTCTGGGCTGTATGGCCATGTTCCAGAAGCATTCTCTCCTGACGTTTTGCCCACATCTATGGCAGGCACCCTCAGAGGTTGAGGGGTCAGTTGGAAACTAGGCAAGTGAGGTTTATATATCTGTGGGATGTCCAGGGTGCTCAAGGTAAGTGTGAATGTTGCCATTTGCTACCTTGATTAGAATTGAATGGAAACAATCAGAGCCAGTTAACACCTCCCAACAAATGATTCCCCCAGGCAGTGAGAAGCCAGACCTTGAAACAAGGCGGCCAATTGTACCATACACACCTACCTCAACCAGACAAGAGTTCTTTCTCCCATCCTGGATATTCCTTAGATATATAAACCTCACTTTCCTAGTTTCCAAGAGACCTCTCAACCTCTGAGGATGCCTGCCATAGATGCAGGTGGAACATCAGGAGAGAAAGCTTTTGGAACATGGCCATACAGCCTGGAAAACTTACAACAACCTAGTGATTCCGGCCATGAAAGCCTTCGACAATACATTAGGTGAATGAGGTTTATATATCTGTGGGATGTTCAAAGTTGGGTGAAAGAACTCTTGTATGCTTGTGTTGCAATTAGGCAGCTTGATTAGCATTGAATTGCCTTGCAGCTTCAAAGCCTGGCTGATTGCTGCCTGGGGGAATCTTTCGTTAGGAGGTGATTCCTTCCATGAAAGCAAGCATTCCACACTGCGTTATTCAGCTATTTTTTACTACCACTGCTCAGGAGTTTGTATCAATACCTGCATCAATAGTGTATTGACTAACATTTAGCTGACACACTAATGGGATTCCCTCTGAAAAAGAGAACTTGGCTACGTTTCGGAGAGATACAGCATGAGTTTTTGTGGCTTTTAGCCTCGTGTTACATAAAAACTCTTTTTTTCATGTCAGGAGTGACTTGAGAAACTAAGTCACTTCTGGTGTGAGAAAATTGGTCATCTGCAAGGAGCTTGCCCAGGGTATGCCCGGATGCTTTGATGTTTTACCATCCTTGTGGGAAGCTCCTCTCATGTCCCCACATGGGGAGCTGGAGCTGACAGAGGGAGTTCATCCGTGCTCTTCCCAGATGCGAATCTCCAACCTGTCAGTCTTCAGTCCTGCCAGCAGAAGGGTTTAACCCATTGTGCAACTGGGGGCTCTGATGAAAGCTCATGAGAGGACAACTTTGAGTATGGGTTGTAGTAGATTTTTGGGGCTGTATGGCCATGTTCTAGAAGCATTCGCTCCTGACATTTCGCCCACATCTATGGCAGGCATCCTCAGAGGTTGTGAGGTCTGTTGGAAACTAGGCAAGTGAGTGGGTTGTTGTGAGTTTTCCAGGCTGTATGGTCATGTTCTCGAAGCATTCTCTCCTGATGTTTCGCCCACATCTGCGGCAGGCATCCTCAGAGGTTGTGAGGTCTGTTGGAAACTAGGCAAATGAACGGTTGTTGTGAGTTTTCCAGGCTGTATGGTCATGTTCCAGAAGCATTCTCTCCTGACGTCTCACCTGTATCTATGGCAGGGATCCTCGGGGGTTGTGATGTCTGTTGGAAACTAGGCAAGTGAATGGGTTGTTGTGAGTTTTCCGGGCTGTATGGTCATGTTCTCGAAGCATTCTCTCCTGATGTTTCGCCCACATCTGCGGCAGGCATCCTCAGAGGTTGTGAGGTCTGTTGGAAACTAGGCAAATGAACGGTTGTTGTGAGTTTTCCAGGCTGTATGGTCATGTTCCAGAAGCATTCTCTCCTGACGTCTCACCTGTATCTATGGCAGGGATCCTCGGGGGTTGTGATGTCTGTTGGAAACTAGGCAAGTGAATGGGTTGTTGTGAGTTTTCCGGGCTGTATGGTCATGTTCTCGAAGCATTCTCTCCTGATGTTTTGCCCACATCTATGGCAGGCATCCTTAGAGGTTGTGAGGTCTGTTGGAAACTAGGCAAGTGAGTGGGTTGTTGTGAGTTTTCCAGGCTGTATGGTCATGTTCTCGAAGCATTCTCTCCTGACGTTTCGCCCACATCTGTGGCAGGCATCCTCAGAGGTTGTGAGGTCTGTTGGAAACTAGGCAAGTGAGGTGGGTTGTTGTGAGTTTTCTGGGCTGTAGGGCCATGTTCCAGAAGCATTCTCTCCTGACATTTTGCCTGCAACTATGGCAGGCATCCTCAGAGGTTGTGAAGTCCACATTTAAGTGTAAAACCTCACAACCTCTGAGGATCCCTGCCATAGATGCAGCCGAAATATCAGGAGAGAATGCTTCTGGAACATGGCCATACAGCCCAAAAAACCTACTACAACCCAATGATTCCAGCCATGAAAGCCTTCGACAACTTTGAGCATCTTTAAGATGTCATAGGATCCATTGGAACAGCCTAACAGAAACTAACCATGCTCTTCCCTGGTGTGCATTGCAATTCTTTGTCAGTGCTTTGTAAACTCCCAGGTTTCGTCTTCCCGAGAAATAAAACAGAGCCAAGTCAATGAACCCAAAGCAAGTCGAATTCTCTAAGGACAACACAGGGCTCAATCAATGAACCCAAAGCTAATCAAACTCTCCAAAGACAAAACAGCGCTAAGTCAATGAACTCAGAGCAAAACCAGGCACCGAAGGAAGGAATTTATGTGCCGATCTTTGGGAACACAACGACCCCATTTCCCAGAAAAAGCATGCAAAAAGGAAATTTTATTTATATAATGCTTCTAAATGAGGATCTTATTTCAAACTAGCTGTCCCTGCCATGCGTTGTTGTGGCCCAATCTGATAATCTGGAAAATAAAGTAATGAGCAAGTGTTGGTTTCTAATATATGTCATGTCTTTCTGCTTGTGGGTAAACAGTATTTCTTGCTGTTTCTTTGTCAGGGGATTGTCTGGTTTGCCCACCCGGGAACATACATTGTCCTTTTTTAGGCGCCCCTTTCAAATCTATGATATTATATCTATATCTGTGTGTGAATCATATCAATCTATCTATATCTATGGCTGGATGGCTCTTTGTCAGGAGGGCTTTGATTACGTTTTCTTGCCCTGGTGAAGGGAGTTGGATTGGATGGCCTTAAGTATTTTCTGTTGGTCATGGGGGTTCTGTGGGAAGTTTGCCCCAATTATGTCATTGGTGGGGTTCAGAATGCTCTTTGATTGTAGGTAAACTGTAAATCCCAGTAACTACAACTCCTAAATATCAAGGTCTATTTCATCCAAACTCTGTGTTCATATTTGGGCATATGGAATATTCGTGCCAAGTTTGGTCCAGATCCATCATTGTTTGAGTCCACAGTGCTCTCTGGATGTAGGTGAACAACAACTCCAAACTCAAGGTCAATGCCCACCAAACCCTTCTAGTGTTTTCTGTTGGTCATGGGAGTCTGTGTGCCATGATTTGTTCAATTCCATTGTTGGTGGAGTTCAGAAAACTCTTTGATTGTAGGTGAACTATAAATCCCAGCAACTACAACTCCCAAATGTCAAGGTCTATTTCCCCCAAACTCCATCTGTGTTCATATTTGGGCATATTGAATATTCGTGCCAAGTTTGGTCCAGATCCATCATTGTTTGAGTCCACAGTGCTCTCTGGATGTAGGTGAACTACAACTCCAAAACTCAAGATCAATGCCCACCAAACCCTTCCAGTATTTTCTGTTGGTCATGGGAGTTCTGTGTGCCAAGTTTGGTTCAATTAATCATAGAATCAAAGAGTTGGAAGAGACCTCATGGGCCATCCAGTCCAACCCCCTGCCAAGAAGCAGGAATATTGCATTCAAATCACCCCTGACAGATGGCTATCCAGCCCCTGTTTAAAAGCCTTATATGTCACATCATTGATGGAGTTCAGAATGCTCTTTGATTGTAGGTGAACTATAAATCCCAGCAACTCAAGGCCAATGCCCACTAACTCTTGTAGTGTTTTCTGATGGTAATCGGAGTCTTGTGTGCCAAGTTTGGTTCAATTCCATTGTTGGTGTAGTTCAGAACACTCTTTGATTGTAGGTGAACTATAAATCCCAGCAACTACAACTCCCAAATGACAAAATTAACACCCCCCCCCCAACTTCACCTGTAGTCAAATTTGGACATATCAGGTATTTGTGCCAAATTTCGTTCAGTGAATGAAAATACATCCTGCATATCAGATATTTACATTACGATTCATAACAGGAGCAAAATGACAATTAGGAAGTAGCAACGAAAATAATGTTATGTTGGGGGTCACCACAATATGAGGGACTGTATTAAGGGGTCGCGGCATTAGGAAGGTTGAGAACAACTGCTCTAAAGACAACATAGGGCTAAATCAATGAACCCAAAGCCAATCAAACTCTCCAAAGACAAAACAGCGCTAAGTCAATGAACTCAGAGCAAAACCAGACACTGAAGGAAGGAATTCCAGTGCCGATTTTTGGGAATGCAATGACCCCATTTCCCAGAGAAAAAAAAGCATGCAAAAAGGAATCCTTATTTATATAATGCTTCCAGATGAGGATCTTATTTCAAAATCAGTGTCTAGGAACAAAATCATCCACAGAAGAGAAGGGGAAAGAGAGTTTCTTTGGACTTACGCGTGGTGTTGTATTTGACTCCGTTGATGAACTCCGGACAAGGTCTCTCCACCAATTCTCCGGCGCCTGTCTTTGGCCAGCAAGTCCTAATCTGGTCGATGGTGGCATTGCAGTAAGGACCTTGAAAAGAGAGAAAAGAGAAAGGCAGTGACTCGCAAGGCACAACAAAAGGAACATTGACCTCCCCCCCACCCAAAAAAAAATGCCTCCCCCCTTTCCTCCATCCCTACCGTCAAAGCCATCCTGGATCATATCCAAAAGGCTGCAGTTAGCATCCAATTCCTCAATGAAGTATTGGAGGATGATAGTCTCGTTCATCGCTGTCCGGCCCTGGAGTGTGCCCAATTGGAGCGGAAAGATAGAACGAGCCGGTCGCACTTCTTTCAGGTCCCTTTCTTTGTTTCTGCCTGCCTTTTTCTTTGCCGATTAAAGTGTGGCAATCTCTCCAGACTCGTGTGAACACATCTCTCTCTTTCTCTCTGCTGTCTTGGAGGGTGGGCGGGTTGAGAAGAGCAACAACCCTCCAAGCGCTCCGGCTTTAAACAGCCGCTCAGGAGCCAATAAAATCACAGCCGGTGCCCAAGGAAAGGGGCGTCCTGCCTTGGTTGATGCCTTCTCGTTTCCTACCTTCTCAGTTGGCATCTATTTCGACAGAGGGAGCAGAGAGAGGGAGCGAACCAGCCAGACAGCCAGCCAGCCAGCCCTGTGCCTCTGCAATTTTATCATCTGCAATGATTGCCTAGATTATCATCCCTGGAGCGATCAACAAGGGATGCCAAAATGGGATCAAAGAGAGCGGGGGTGTGATGCAGTGCACAAGTCACGAGGTGGGGTTCATACAATCCTACAGTGGGAAGGAACCCCAAGGGTCAACCAGTCTACTCCCATCCTTCCAGGCAGGAAGACACAATCCAAACCCTCCCAACAGATGCCCATGCAGTCTCTACTTAAAAACCCCCAGAGAAGGAGTCTCCATCAGACTAACAGACAGTCCATATTCCATTATAGTTGGAAAGGGTCCCCCAAAAGCAACCCCATTTTTCCAGACTGGTAGACACAATCCAAATCCTCCTGACAGATGCCCCATCCGGCCTCTGTTTTAAAACCTCCAAAGAAGGAGACTCCATCGAACTAACAGACAGTCCATATTCCATTATAGTTGGAAGGGGTCCCCAAAAACCATTCCCATTTTTCCAGGTAGGAAGACACAATCCAAACCCTCCTGATAGATGCCCATCCAGCCTCTACTTAAAAACCTCCAGAGAAGGAGAATCTATTGGATTATGAGACGGTCCATATTCCATTATAGTTGGATGCAGTTCTCAAAAACCAATCCCATTTTTCCAGGTAGGAAGACACAATTCAAACGCCTGATAGACGTCCATCCAGCCTCTACTTAAAAACCTCCAGAGAAGGAGAATCCATCAGACTACCTGACAGTTCACATTCTATTATAGTTGGAAGGTGTGCCCAAAGACCATCCAGTTCAATCCCATTTTTCCAGACCTAGACACAATCCAAACCCTCCCAACAGAAGCCCATCCAGTCTCTACTTAAAAACCTCCAGAGAAGGAGAATCCATTGGATTACAAGATGGTCCATATTCCATTATCGTTGGATCCAGTCCTCAAAAACCAATCCCATTTTTCCAGGTAGGAAGACACAATTCAAACCCCCCCGATAGACATCCATCCAGCCTCTACTTAAAAACCTCCAGAGAAGGAAACTCCATCCGACTAACAAATAGTCCATATTCCATTATAGTTGGAAGGGGTACCTAAACACTATCCAGTTCAATCCCATTTTTCCAGGCAGCAAGACACAATCCAAACCCTCCCAACAGATGCTAATCCAATATCCACTTAGAAATTTTCAGAGAAGAAGACTCCATCAGACTACAAGACAGTCCATATTCCATTATAGTTGGAAAGGGTCTCCAAAGGCCATCCAGTTCAATCCCATTTTTCCAGGCAGGGAGACACAATCCAAACCCTCCTGATAGATGCACATCCAGCCTCGACATAAAACCTCAAGAGAAGGAGAATCCATCGGACTAGCAGATAGTTCATATTCCATTATTGTTGGAAGGGGTCCCCAAAAATCAATCCCATTTTTCTTGGTAGGAAAACAGAACCTAAACCCCCCCCCCCAAAAGATGCCCATCCAGCCTCTGCTTAAAAGCCTCCAGAGGAGACTCCACGGGACTCCAAGGCATCAGATTCTACTGCCAAACAGCTTTTATCATCAGGAAGTTCTTCCCAAGGTTTGCATTGAATCACTTGCTCCATTGTGTCCTAGTCTCTAGAGCAGCAGAAAACAAGTTTGCCTCATCCTCGATGGACCATCTTTCCAAATATGTAAACAAGAATCTCATGTCCACTCTCAGCCTTTGTTTCTCCAAGCTGAACATTCTGGAGACTCCACCTAAACATTAGGAAGGACACCTTGATAAACAATTTCACAATGGAATATGCTTCCTCAGAATGTGGTGGCATCTCCTTCTCTGGAGGTTTTTAAGCAGAGCCTGGATGGACATCTGCCAGGGGGGCTAGGGTTGTGTCTTTCTGTCTGGCAGAAGTGATTTGGACTATATGATCTTTAGGGTCTCTCCAACTCTAGATTCTATATGAATTCTACACAACAGAGAAGTAAACAAATGAAGCTGAATCACAGCACCAACCAGTAGTGATGCTGACATCCACCCAAGAGTTTACACTGTGTTGTCGAAGGCTGTGAGTTTTCCGGGCTATATGGAAAACACATTCCAGAAGCATTCTCTCCTGACATTTCACCCACATCTACAACCTCTGAGGATGCCTGCCATAGATGTGGGCAAAACATCAGGAGAGAATGCTTCAAGAACTTGGCCATACAGCCCAGAAAACTCACAGCAACCCAGTTTACACAGTGCTTTGTGGTTGCTAAGAAACAATGTCATGCCCTCCCCTTTGCAAAGGGTAGAAGTACAAGCCTTGCACCTCTGATCATATTGGCATCCCATATTGTTGCCCCTTCTTCCAAGCATCTCTTGTGCTTGTACATTTCTTCATTGTGTGAGTTCAGTTTCCTAATGGCCTGAATAATAACAGGATTTTGGGGAAACTTGGATGCGGCACTTAAGATTGTTAGCAGTCTTGCCTCAAGGTCTTCTTAACTTATCAGATACACCACAGTGCACTAGATCTCCTTCCTGGCTGGGGAACAAAGATCAGGGAGCAAAGTTATTCACTGTTTGGGTAATTGGAAGAAGGTCCAAGTGCAGGATTTGCAAAAATTACTTTGGAGAGGATTATTACTGTGTGCCTTCAAGTTGACCCTATCATTGGGTTTTTTGTTCCAATATCTGTTTAAAACTGGGTTTGCCATTGCTTTTCTCTGAGGCTGAGAGTGTGTGACCTGATCAATGGATTTCGGCGTTGAATTAGAATTAGTCTAAGATTCAAACTCTACCTTCCTCAAAAACATTCAGCCAGCACAACTGAGAACTAGAGGATACAGAGAAGTAACTTTTCCAAGCTCTTTTCAGAAGCTAGGAGGAGCTGCAGCAATTTGCTTTTCCTTGGGCCTATTGGGATAACAATAAGATTTTGGTGTGCTGCAATGCTCTAGTGGGATTCCTTTCCAGGTAATCTGCATCTCTAGATTAAAGGTAAAGGTAAAGGTAGTCCCCTGACATTAAGTCCAGTCATGTCTGACTCTGGGGTGTGGTGCTCATCTCCATTTCTAAGCCGAAGAGCCAGCGTTGTCCGTAGACACCTCCAAGGTCATGTGGCCGGCATGACTGCATGGAGTGCCGTTACCTTCCCGCCGGAGCGGTACCTATTGATCTACTCACATTTGCATGTTTTCGAACTGCTAGGTTGGCAGAAGCTAGGGCTGACAGCGGAAGCTCACGCCGCTCCCCGGAATCGAACCTGCGACCTTTCGATCAACAAGCTCAGCAGCTCAGTGCTTTAACCCACTGCACCACCGGGGGCTCCCTAGATTACCTGGGAATAAATCTCACTGGAGCATTGCAGCACATCAAAATACATGGGCGTCACCCTGGACTGCACTCTGACCTACAAGAAGCACTGCTTGACTATCAAGCAAAAAGTGGGCGCTAGAAGCAAATATCATACAAAAACTGACTGGTACAACCTGGGAATCACAACCAGACACAGTGAAGACATCTGCCCTTGTGCTTTGCTACTTTGCTGCTGAATATGAGTGTCCAGTGTGGAACACATCTCACCATGTTAAATCAGTGGATGTGGCTCTTAATGAGACATGAAACATTTTCAGAGGATGTCTACTCCCAACACCGCTGGAGAAATTATACTGCTAGCTGGTATTGCACTACCTGACATCCATTGGGAAGTACCAGCTTGTAATGAAAGGACCAAGGCAGTGACATCTCTGGTCCATCCCCTGTTCGAATATCAGCCAGCAAGCCAATGCCTTAAATTAAGAAACAGCTTCCTAAGATCTACAGAGATACTTGCAGGAAAGCCTCAGCAAGCGAGAGCCCAAAAGTGGCAGGCTAAAACCCAGAACTTCAATTGGTGGCTGAGACCAGAAGAGAAACTCTCTCCTGGGCACACTAAAGACTGGGTGGCTTGGAAGGCACTGAGCAGACTGTACTCTGGCACCACGAGATGCAGAGCCAACCTTAAGAAATGGGGCTACAAAAGAGTGTCCATGGCATGTAAGTGCGGAGAAGAGCAAACCACAGATCACCTTCTACAATGCAACCTAAGCCCTGCCACATACACAGTGGAGGACCTCCTTATAACAACACCAGAGGCACTGGTCAAAGGACATTTAGTATAATGCCAAGTTTTCAAACTTTGTGTTTTTAAAATACATTACAACTGTACACTTGGTTTGCTTCTGATATGATAAATAAAAAAAATACTCTTCAAGGTTCAGAGATTGGAAATTTTCACCCCCACTTCCAGTCTCCCCCAAGCCGGCATGGGGATTATGGGCGATGCAATCCAAAAAGATAAAAAACTCGATCCCAAGCCCTGTTCCAGAGCCCTCAGGACTCCCATTTATATGCAGAGATGTTTCTTTTCACATTTTATACAAAAGCTAAACACTTTATTTCGGAAACTGCATTGCTACTTAAAACACACACCAGTGAACTGGGGGGGGGGGGGGGAATGACATTGGAATAATCTAAGGTTTCATATATCTGATTTTTGCACTTTCCTTCTTCGCCCTTTTTAATGGGCAATTTGCAAAAATTGACAATGTTGTGCCCATATATTAACTTGGCAGGACTTTCTTGCCGCTTTCTGGCACTGCTCCATCATTCTTCCCTGCTTCCCTGTGTAATAAGATTCACTCACACGGTTTTTATAGGATTGGAGAGACTAGCAAAATGCATTCGTGCCCTAGATAAAATATACCCGTGGCGTTGTTAGGAAATAATTTCCTTTCATTTGGCCTATTAGAAATTCTTGTTCGGCTGGCAGTAAATATCTTCGCTGTGTTTTGTTTTGCAGCTTATGGATTCATCACCACAAATCTGCATATTGACAGCTTTTATTGTTTCATCATTCTGTGCTGTTGTCATATATCATTTCTTAATAAGAGACTGTTTGCACCACAGTTGCCAATGAAAAAAAGGATAGGCTTTTCTTCCCAAGAGAGAACTGAAGAAGGGGGCATCTACATTGTGGAATTCATAGAATCATAGCATTGGA